ATCCCCCTTTTTTCGGCCCCATGTTGCCACAAGAAACGGATAGAGTGGTCACAAGAGTAGGCTTCTAAACCCACTTTTTGAGTACCTTATCTCAGATCCGAACGTGTATTATATGATTGTATGTTTAAGAAAAAATCGGCAATATTTCCCCTTAGCTTCCAAATGTGTGTGTGTGTGTGTATATATATATATATATATATATATATATATATATACCCGAAGAGCAAAGGGAAAATGACAACCGAATCTGTCTTAAATAGACAATCAAGAAATACATGTTCACATCCTATCCTAGATGAGATAAAGTAGTCAAAAAACAGTCCCAAAATAGGAAAAGCCCGGAATTAATTTCTAAATCAATTTAAGACGGGTATTTCTAAGCTCATGATGATTATAAAGAAGACACACAAGCAAAAAGAATTTGTAAGAATTTTTTTTTTATTTATAGCATCTTACTTTTCTATAGTTTTGTTATTTAGGGTATTTTATTTTGTTTTAAGTTTTCTATAATAGCACTGTACTTTAAATATTATATTGTTTTTTTATTTGAGCATTGTACTTTTTCATATTTTTGTTATTTATAACATTTTTTTGTTTTTCTTTTTTTCAATTATAACATTGTATTTTAAAAAATTATATCATGTTGTTTTCTATTCTAGTGGTTACTTTAGATAACATTGTGAATAATAACCTCCTACTTTTTTTTTGTTGTTTTCCATTACAATGGTTTACCTTAAATAACATTGTCAATAATAGCATCCTACTTTATTTGAATTTTTTGCTTTATAATGGTTTACTTTAAATAATATTGTGAATAATAGCGTCCTACTTTTTTCCATTATAGCATTGTAGTTTACATATTGCATACAAATACACATATATATACATAATTTCCGGTTTTTGTACATACAAATACATACATACAATCCATCACTCAATACAAATTCAAATGACAAAATTGCAAAAATGGTCCATGTGGTATGCATTTTTTTGGGGTTTTAGTCCAAACTCTGACTTTTTTGGATTCATGGTCCTTTTGACAATGTTTGTTTGTGATTTTGGCCCCTCGAAAAACTGAAAAGACGAAAATGCCCTTTCTGATAATTTTTTTATGTTTTTTCATTTTAATTTAAAGGAAAAAGATAATCTTTAATTAATTTGGGCCCACATATCTCTCTCTCTCTCTCTCTCTCACACACACACACATAACCAAAAGGTTAACACCAAATTCTCCTTAAAGATTTAGTGTGTGGGTCTGAAAATCAAACCAAATCTAGCCACAAATTGGAAATACATTAACCAAATCGAATCACCATAGGAAATACATTAAACAAATTGGATCAACTGAGTTCAGAGTCAGAACCTTCATCATCTTCTTCTTTGTTTTTCAACTGTTGATCTGTACCTACATCTCCTTCTCAACCCCAATCCCGATGACAAGTATCAATGAGTGTTGGTGAACGGTTTCTGCCCGAGAAGGGATATGTAGGAGGGCAAGGGGAAGGTGGGTGAAAGGTGCTATGGGACAATCAATTTTTAAAAATCACAAGACCAAGGAGACAAAATCAAACAAATGTGCTCTGGTTTTCTTGTGAGGATAAAATATGAACACAGTTTTAGAGGACGGTGGTGGTGACTCTGATGAACTTTATCGTCCCCTCCAGATCCATAATTCCAGAAATCGAATATGGTTCCAGAAATTGTTCATCTTTTTTTAGGGGTTGCGAGACAAGGATACGTATACAGGGATGGAACAAGATTAAATCATATAGAATCCAATATCGTTCAAAACATTATCAAAACAAATCAGGAGCGAAGCATCACAAAAATCGATGTAGTATAACCATCCATTGATCGAAACATCAGTGCTAGTCTCATTTAGCCAAACTGAACTTCAACTCCATCGAATTGAAACGAAATCACAATTTTTTTCATTACCACCTACTGCTAATCTCTCGGTGGTGGTGATTTTCGATTAGTGGTGGCCGGTGGCGGTAGCCACCATCTCTGTGGCTCGATTTTCTGTGGTCTCCCTTTCTTCGTCAGATGCTGCTATGGTTTGCAGCACTGTCTTCGACGATCCTTCTTCTCCCCTTCACTGATATGACATCGGATCCTGCTACGGTCATCAACCTTTGTATACTGATATTTGGTTGAAATTTGCTTAGCAACTTTAAACCTAGACGCCCCTTCCTCACCATGCAATCAATACAAAAATCGATACTTGGAAAATAAGGATAGTTCGATTGAGCACCAGAGGATTTCTTATTTGAACTGGATGTAGAAATCGTAAATTTCTTTTTTTGTGTGCTTCAGATCATCAGATTCTTTATGAAATATGGGGAAATATTTAATTGGTTTTATGTTTGTTGTGAGAGAGAGAGAGAGAGAGAGAGAGAGAGAAGTAGGCCCCTTCTTAATTTATTAATTATTAAAATAAATATATTAGTATTAGATTTAAAAAGAAATTAAAGAAAAATGAAAAATAAATAACCCAAGGGTATTACAGTCATTTCACTATTCAGAGGGATCAAAAACGCAACGAAACTAGCTCAAAAGGACCACGAATCCAATAAAGTCGGGGTTTGGACTAAAACCCCAAAAAAATGCATACCACAGGGACTATTTTTGCAATTTTGTCAATTCAAATATACATACATAATTTCATGTTTTCATACATTCAAATACACATTATACACATATACATTCATTATACACACATACATTCCATATTGCATACAAATACACATACGTACCTAATAAACTATATTCATACATAAAGATCATGGGGGGCTTTGAGGGGGGG